AAAAATGTGCATACAGTTCCGTGTGTATCAGGTAGGGTTAGGTTTAGGGCAGGGTTAGAGTAAGGCATAGAGTTAGGGTTAGTATAAGGGTTAGAGTTAGGGTTAGTGTTAGGGTTATAGTTATGGTAGGGTTAGGTTTGGGTTAGGGTGTGGTTTAAGGGGTGTGGCTATTGTTTTAGAAACATGCCTCTACAGCTGATAAAATAATTCCTTCCATTCGAAACTAGCAGTGGCATAGCGTGGGTCCAACTATTGAAATGGCACAGGTCTCATCAGGTGAATTAAATGGAAAAGGCAATCGAGTAGGGAAAACAGCAATTATAAAACAACAATTTTGTAGCTGAGTGTGACAGTTTTATCTATTGAACCTAATAATACAAAATCTAAAAGCATAACCGAAAAGCAGATTTACAAGAAAACTTGTGGAGTCACTTTACACGAGGCACGGAAACAAAACGATGTATTTATTGTGTTTCTTTAAATCCTGATCTTTAAACTTTTGTGGACGAGAAGACAAAATTTCAGATCTCATCAAGACGATATTCTGGGGACGAGATGACAAGATGATAATATTACATTACGTCTTCTAGTATTCTCGTACCATTGAATTCGGCTCACGAACAAAGTCGTCCCATATTCATTAGGCGTCATATCGACTGTGTTATTAGGATTACCTACACCAATCAAAGCTATTAAGACTCCTAACGCGTGCGCCAGTAATTAAACGAAGAAATTAACCGTTTTAATTTTGCATTTAAATTTGGTACAATTTCGTTGTCATGACGGTTCAATGTCCGCGGCAAGTCAATGCCGTCGCAACTCTACGTCACCAAATGACGCGTGTGCCAGGGGCATGTGAAGGTTTCTGTTTTTACGTGAGTGACTGAATCTGCGTACAAAACAACAAAAAAGTGCATACATGATGACACGAGTACTTGTTTAAGTTGTTGTTGTTGTTGTTTTGTGTTGATGTTTTTAATGACAAAGCCTTTGAAATTAATTTCCTTCACTACTACAGCCTGCTGTCTGGCCGTCGACGCAAAGCCCGTCAAACTCTCAGGCCGCCACGCCCGGCACGTCAATAAGGCCCCCACCACCTACATTGCACCAGCAGAGCAGAACATGTTTGAAGCTCCCTTGGACCAGATGGACGCGGGCGGCAGCGCGGCCGACATCAGCTCCTCTTCGGAGTCGTCTCAGGAAGGCGATGTCAGCGCCGAGGGGGCCGATGGCGCCGACTACACCGCCGACAACCCAGAGCCCATGGGCAACCGCCACAACAACCGTGCCCACGGGGGAAAACTTCCCATCTTCGGCAGTCCCAACAACGGTGCCAACCCCGGCATGGAGCCCCTCCAGAAAGCATCGACGTCGAGCTCGAGTGTCGGCATCGCCTTCGCCGTGCTCGCCCTGATCGGAGCCGCTGTCGGAGTGTCTGTCTATGTCATCAAGAGGAATAGGCTTAGCATCCCGTTCATCAAGATGACCAACTAGAGAAACAGATTCAGTTATTTCAGGTGCCTTTCTTGTTAAAAAAATTGTGTTCCTATTTGTGTATTTCGTTGCCATTGCCTGTTCGTTTTTTTTTTTCGTAGAGCATATGCCCTTTTGGATTCATCCTATATTACTATAGGATACTTCGAAACATAAGTCTTCTTTCTTCGGTAAAGAAAGAGAGAACAGATGTCATAAGTACCTTTATAATTAATGATATTTTGCCTCAGGTGAACCTTTTATGAAAAATATCAGGAGTTCATTTTGTTAGGGAAGTACAATGTCACACAAAAATAAATTTACATGGAAAGTTAAGAACCATATTAAAGAATCTTGTTGAAATATTAGTGTCTACATATGAAGGGGACTAACTCTTCGTAGAAAGCTGTGAAAGCAAAAGCAATCAGGAAAACAAATGTAAGAAGGTTTGAGGTAATAGAGTATAGAGGATATGAAATTGTAGATTCACAATCACTAATGATATGGGAAATATCAAATTGATTATGCAGTAATGAAATCCCATTTTTTGGTAACCGTTGTGACTCAACCTATCCCCTCTCTCATTAATTTGATTTGTATATATCAGACAAACTAAGTCGAGAATGTGTAAGACACACAGGAATAAACCATAAACATATTTCTGCAAAACCTATATACCACAAAACTATTCTGCAAAACAAATGTACAATAATGTATCATAAGGATGTGTTTAAAAAAACATATATGCCACAAACGTATGTCTGTTTGATCAGGAAATGTGATATTTGGGAAATTGGCGAGTAGGCCTACAAATGGGGGCGTTTCCCTTGTATGATGTCACATATCAGGGCCGAATCGCCAATCACATATTTGCTTATCTAAAGTGATCTCGACATTTCAAGATTAACGATTTTCTGATCCGTTATCAGATAATTCTCGAACCTTTCCCAATTTGGTATCTGTTTCAACTGAGGCCAGGTCCTTGTTTCATGAAACTTCTTATCATTAACAAGTAACAATAACCGTTAATAGCTACAGATATCGTGGATTTTGATTGGCGGAGAGCTCCCAGTCTAGCTAAAATAATCACATGCACAGAAATGTGTAAATGGGACTACGCATACCTGTGGCATGAAAGTGTGGTCCACAACCTTCAACTGTTATTTGTATTTTGAATATGACGGAATTTTCAGGGAGCTCCTTTCTAGGATACTCTTCCACACTAACATAAAAAGAAGAGAAAATGCCAACAAATTATTGTTCACCTTTATTAGGACTCAAACCTTCTCTGTCATTTCCGTTGACAAATAATAATGTATACATATATATTCTGTATTTTGGCCGAAATTTAAGCTTAGATTTGTGTTGATCTGCACACTGACAGTTTCACTAATCCAATAGGTTTATGCCAGTCCGTTCAAAATAAACACTATTACGACTATCACATAAGTAATGAGTAATGAGTCGGCTAATGGGCATACTGCCGTCTAATAATTATGGCAGATATAATTCATTTGCTAACAATTACTGTTGATAATCATTTAGACAGTTTAAACTGGCAACGACCTCAGAAAATGCAGTTAAGCACGACATTGACACATTTGTCAAATATCGCGCCCCATTGTTAATAAAATGCCTGGCTTTGTTCCAATGCGTTACACAAGGTCACATGGCTCGGGCCAAGATGAGAGAACATTGGATAATTTGTTATCATTGATTATGAGTTGAATAGTATAGCAAATAATGGATTGAATCCGTTCTATTTATGGTCATTAAGGATTAGTGCACACACAATTCATTTCAAAGCTCTAAATTTGACACATATGCGTACATTTCTTGAAACAGGTTAATAATTGTAACGTCTTTTATTTATTTATTCCCCTTTTTCTTAAGAATAATCAGTCATTATGGATCTGATATGTTTCGTGCCAAGTAAAGTCTTTGAAAGAGTGATTCTGTTTTTGTGTCCAATAATTGTTTATCTTTGACACATTGTATGCTGCATTGAATATTGTATATTTATGAATATTTATAACGGTTGGAAATGTATATAATCCTTATTAAAAAGCTGTTTATATTGTAAAACGATCACGTGAAGAATAAATTCCTGTAGTAATAAACAAAAATGTTTGTTCTCGTTTTATTGCAATATTGTGTTTCTATCTTTTACCTACCTTAACCTATATTCTTCTATTTCATTTCCCCTTTCATTTCTATTTTTTAATTACTCTACTTTTCCACTCCGTTGTCTTTATGTTTTCCAGTCTTTTCTTCCTTGAATTCTTGTATTTAACAATAAAATTGTTATATTTTTACTTGTACTGTCCGCCATTTCCTTCTTCTCTTTTCTTCCTCTCTTTTCTTCCAGTCATATACACTGCCTCCTTTCCCCCTTGTCCTTCTTTGTTCTATTTATTCTTTCGTATATATTGTTTGTATTGGTCTTTATCAAGGTCCCTCAAGGACAGTAATCTTTTCAACAGAAGACACAACCCTATTTAAATAAAACTGGCAAATAAAATCTGTTTTATTTAATCTGGTCGCTACGCTACTCTTTCCCACTGCACTTTACGACGAAAGTTCTGCCAAAACCTCTTTAATTTCCTTTATCGTTCCTCAATCACTTCTCCATCCACCCCCCCTCTCTTTCTCTCTCTCTCTCTCTCTCTCACTCCCACTCTTCACTTCAGCGTTTCCCATACGCTCTTAACATAAAAATTATATTAATTTAGATATGCACGTACAGATGTATGACTTACTTTGATTCTTTCCGTTTCTTCCCCGCCCCTCCTCCCCCCCTGCCCTACTCCTGCCCCTCTCTCCCTCTTTGCATCTCTCCTGCCCACACACACTCTCTCTCTCCCTCTTTCTCTTTCCCTACACCTTTCTATTTCTGTATTTCTCACTTTCTGAAATTACTCTCTCTATATATCTCTCTCTTTGTCTCTCTCTTTGTCTCTCTCTGTATGTCTCTCTCTATATCTATGTCTCTCTCTCGTTATGATATATATATATGTATACAAACACCTCTGTCTCTACCCATTATCTTCCTATTGATTTACGTCTCAGTCTCTTAATTTCAATCCCCCTCTCTCACTCTTTCTTTCTTTCTTTCTTTTCTTCTATCCATCTCTTCTCCTCTAACACTTCTTTGCAAAATTGTTTGTCACACAAATATTCACACAAATATTTCAACTTTTCTTACGCTTTTAGACGTATACCCATTTATATGTGTCACTTTATTTCTTTGCGTCCACCCTGCCTCTCTCTTTCTCTCTCTCTCTCTCTCTCTCTCTCTCTCTCTTTCTCTCTCTCCCTTCATCCCTGTCCCTATCTGTCTCTCTTATCTCTCTCTCTCTCTCTTTCTTCGTATTCCCTTTTATCTGTTTATTTGAAATTATTTCACCCTTCTCCACTCTTTTCCGAATGAATTAACACTCTGTAGAGCGTGTGTTGATTTCCTGCCAGTACCATCTAAATCAATACCATAAACGGGGCCCCAAGTAATTACAACATAAGCGGATAAGTTCACTAAATAATGCATTTATACATCTTTTTATTTCTTCGTGATAAATGCAAATTGCCAAACGAATACCATCAAGACACAGATACTTGAAATTAAAAATTGTACAATCCATAATACTCGGTGTCCGAGGTACGTACATTTATTTGGATGTCGGTGACACAGACTAAAGGAAGCAATTTGTTAATCAGTTAATCTTTATCGTAATTGTGCAAATTCGTCAAGAGTCTATTTTAAAACATGTTCCTCTTATCGCCCGAAACTCCTTGTATGTTGCAAAGCCCCGATTATCGCAAGGTTATGCCACCGTCTGCCTTTACATGAAAAGGCCAAACACGAATGTTAACATGTTGAATTCATGGACATACACGAAGTTTCACAAGAATGTCCAGCAGTCTTTGAGACAATAGAAACGAGTTTGCAGGATGCGATTTACTTAAGGACGATAACTGGAATACGGTGTCTGTACTTTTTGAAGAAGAACACCCCGAGCGCAATAGTGCATCCGATGATGGCGAGCACGGCGAAAGCGATGCCGACGCTGGATCCTGAACTAGAACCTTTCTTGTACTCGGTCATCATCCCCTTGCCCATCGAGCTAGGAGCCTTACCACCCGTCATCATGAAAGGCGCCCCGCCTCCTCCGAGGAAGCCAAATCCGCCATCGGAGAAAATCCCTGGACTCTCGTTCGCCCCGACGTCTGGTGTATCAAGAGGCTCGTACTCCTCATAGTCGGGTGCGTCAGGGGCGTCGGGTGCGTCAGGGGCATCAGGGGCATCTGGTGCGTCAGGAATATCAGGTGCATCGGGGATATCGGGTAGGTCGGGATAATCCACTTGGTTGACCGGGCCGTCCAGGATGGTCTGGCGTTTAAGTGCTGCAGGGGTTACTAGGGAGGCAGGATTAAGGTATCCTCCAAACGTCCTCAAGAAGGCGAATGGCTGTACAGGCCCTTCTGGTCGCTGTGGCTTCTCTGGTTTCTCTGGTGCTGGGTACTTGCCATATGGTCTTGCGTCAGTATTGAAGCACAGGACTGGTGGCCAGCAGGTAGGAAACAAGAACGAAATACCAGTTAATGATAACATAGGACCTACGCTCCTACATGATTTTATTTCTTTAAAAACAACACACCCTTCAATATGCACCAAACTTATCAGAATACCACTTACATAATCATTCAGAAATAACGCGTATAAGGAGTCGTAATACTTTCCTCATGTTTCTGTTAAGTTAAGCTAAACTCAGCTGGCTCTTCGATCTTTATTTTCCTTGAATCAGGAGGCATTTTATGAATAAGCATAGCTCTCACTCTTTACTAACATTGACCAAATTTTAATAACATTTAGATTGAAAGAAACAAAAACCTGCCCATCACCAAACAACGATTACTTGATGAATACATCCCCAAAATACTGCAATGTGTCATTTGAGAAAGCAAAAATAATCCACCTACCTAATGTTATTATCGCAAAGCCAAGAAGGTATGAAGATGAAGACATGATGCTTGTTAAAACTCCAGAATCTTAGCTGTCAATATAGTTTTCAGGATTGAAGGCAGAGAAGTCTCATCTCTCGGAACCGGTGCAAACACTGAATGATACTTATCAACTCGGGCACCTCAAAATTGCGATGCTAAATTACGATGTGAATTGAATCACCACTTTTTAAAGCATTATGATGATTCCTCTAAGTATTACACCGCTTTTATATTTATTTTCCCTCCGTCGGAGCCCGCTATCCAGCTGTTATCCTGAAAAGAAACTCGCAACTAAGATTTATTTCCAAATCCTATACCTTGACCTTGTTCAGTACAGTCGCATCTCTCTCCCCCGTCAGTGCAGGGGTTTGGGGGTACATCTTCCCACCCTGACACATGCACGAATCCTCCTAAATCCCCACTCTTAATCCAGGATTCTTTGCTGTTCCATTGCAATGTTAATTCGTTATTTCTGATGAGGATCTGCCCCTGAAGCCGTAGACTGATTAGTCATTTCTCTGTTTGCATTTATTATGAGCTACTTCTCAAAAAGCAGTCGATTTCTTTCTCCCTCCCTCAAAAACTTGACGCGGCATTATGCAGATGCATGTATATCAACATTGTAGTAGGTCTGACATTAAAAAGTAAAATCAAGTTCGGGTTACGCAATAACATTATGGGAGACATAGTCTGGACGCAATTGGAAACGGTGATACATGAGAACTGCTGTTTACTGGGAAGTATTGTTATTAATCATAATGAAAAGATATTAACTCTATCCACTCTTGTTGACTCATGCCATGCAGAAATAAATTGGTTATATGGTACTGAACACAAATGTTTGGTCCAAACTATTCATATTTTGAGTATGAAGGCACTTAAATGAGCAATCCTTTTCAGGAGACATGTATGACATGAAAGTCTTCCAATGTGACAAACAAAAACTCAGCAAGCTCACAATTTTTTGTTCATCTTCACCAGAAACGTCTATATAAAGATGACTACAATCGCGTAAAACATTCCGTTTACCTGCAAAATAGTCAAAATCAAATTTCAGCTTTCAAACAATCATAATCACAGAATCGTGCAATTTTTTTTCTGATTTTCCTAAGTTGATACCGAAATACAGTTAAAAAGCAGGTCGAAAATAATGTCGCCTTTAACGAATTCATACCTGTATAAACTAGGATAAGATTTTCATAAAATGTTTCTTTGATTGTCCCAAGAGTTCAGGTTCCAGGACTTTTCGATATTCTCATCAATTTATACGTAGTGTTTGGTAACATTCCCTTTGCCAAACATATTTTTCTCCCTCCGTTTATACCATTTCTACTAAATTTGCTCTTTTATCAGATTTAATGCATTTAGAGAAGCATTCGTTATATAACTCACGCCTCATGTATGGCATTGACGTTATCAGTTACCCGATGCAAACTTCTTTGTATAGGAAATTAGATCATATCATTGAAATTATGACTAAAATAGAACCGGGGCAAGGACACTACCTTGTGTCACTCCTAAGTGTTGAATATTCAAAGCTGATTTGTGTTCTCCTTGAGAGAGTTCCAGTTTATGATTAATATTGATTAGCTCCTAATAAAGGAAATGGTAAAGCCATATATGGTCTGAGCATTTAAGTCATTTGCTGGTTCGACAGTCCTTTTGTCTGTATGACTTGACCTTAAATCGTGCGCTCTGACGGCGTGAGGGAAATAGAATCTCACTCATGGCCGTTGCACACAAGGCGTCGTTTGCTGACGTAGGAATGCATCAGCGGCTGGCGCCGTCTTTGATGCACTTTATGAAAGTGATATCGTAGAAGAAGTATATGCAAACAGAACAGTGCAAAATGCTGCATTGGATGGCTGGCGCATGCATTAAAGTCATTTGTGGGCGTAATAATTGAAAACGGAACGATGCCTCGTGTGAAGGGGCATCCAATTTCGTTATCCGAGTCATCACCATGTTTAAAGCATTCATATCTTAAATCTTTCACAGATGCAGTAACAATTTCAAATTTTGATCAGTATTCTCGTAAAAGAAAACAAAAACATTCATCGTCATCATCAACTTGTTAATGGTCGACATCATCATCTTCGTCATAATCCTTATCACGATCACCATAATCAAAATTATCATCTTCATCATCATCAAAGTCATACAGGTCGTCATCATTATCATCATCATCATTATCATCATCATCATAATCAACATCATCATCTTCATCATCATAATCACCATTATTATTATCATCCTAATCCCCGTAGTTACCATTAACCACCTCATCGGGGTCCCCATCACCTTCATCATCATCATCTTCATCATCATCATTATCATCATCATCATCATCATCATCATTATCACCATTATCATAATCGACATCATCATCTTCATCATCTTCATCATCATAATCATCATTGTTATCACAATTATTATTATTATCATCAGAATCCCCGTAGTTACCATTAACCACCTCATCGGGGTCCCCATCACCTTCATCATCATCATCGTCATCATCATCATTATCATCATCATTATCATCATCATCATCATCATTATCACCATCATCATAATCGACATCATCATCTTCATCATCATAATTATCATTGTTATCACAATGATGATGAACTTGACTCTAAATCATCATGTATCTCACACATGCAAAGCCATTAGATTCCAACTCCGCAATCTTTCGCACATCCGAAGATTCCTGACCCGTAAGGCTACTGAAACCATGGTCCATTCCCTCATCTCTTCTCGCTTAGACTTCTGCAATTCTCTTCTGATACATCTTCCTGACTACCAGCTGCAACGCCTCCAACAACTCCAGAACTCCGCGGCCAGACTTGTAACGCTCACTAAAGGCACCACTCACATCTCACCCATCATTAAGGCACTGCACTGGCTTCCTGTCCGCCAACGCATCATCTTCAAAGTCATTCTTCTCGTCTATCAAGCACTTCACTGCACTGCACCCTCATACATACAAGACCTAGTACGACTCTACGAACCACCACGACGACTCCGCTCTGCTCACACCCAACTTCTTTTCATCCCACGTTCACGACACTCCTGGGGAAGGCGTTCTTTTTCAAGTTCTGGCCCTGAACTGTGGAACTCACTCCCTCCTCACCTCCGTAATGAGAACTCCTACTCACAGTTTAAGTCTTTGTTAAAAACGTTTCTGTTCTCAACATATTAGTTTGTTTAATTAATTATGTCTTACATTGTACTACCCTTATATAACTTGATTTACTGTAATATGCTTTGTATTGTATTATTGTATTATTGCAAATTATGTCCTGAAGTATGTTAAACTGTAACTTATGTGTATTTTACTTTCTTTCTTGAATTCTTGCCCACAATTATACAACTTCCACACAACTGCGCCAGGAGTGTCATTTTGACAGACATGGCGCATTATAAATGTTCACTATTATTATTATTATTATTATTATTATTATTATTATTATCATCATAATCCCCGTAGTTACCATTATCTATCTCATCGGCGTCTCCGTCACCTTCATCATCATCATCATCATCATCACCATCATCATCATCGTCATCATCATCATTATCATCATCATCATCATCATCATAACCACCATCATCATCATCAGCAGCAGCAGCAGCATCAGCAGCAGCATCATCATCATCATCATCATCATCTTATCATCATCATCAACATCATCATCATCATACTTGTTTTCGTCACTGCCTTGAACCTGATTATTACTTCATTCCATAATATCCACAACAATCGTAATTCGAATGTGAAAAATGAGTCCATTCAGAAGAAAATATAATATGATATATGTTATTATTTAGGTACATATGATAAAAAGGACTATCAAAATTGAAACACAACTGGACGAAATAAACAGCAAAATGTACACCCCCCCCCCCCTCCCGAAAAAGACTATTACTACTTTAACATCGGCAGGTTCACTTAATATTTTGACCAAACATGCCAAATATGAGTCTTATTCTATATCCAAACCGGCAGGTGTATCATTGGCATTATTGGAACCGGGCCTTTTAATCGCAAGTCCAGACACGACCACCACTGCGATCACGAGTATAACGACGCCGAATCCGATTCCGACGTGAGCTACTTTACTTTCTCCTGCCAGGAAACTGTGGTCGTTTCGGCCTTTTGCGTGCCCTAATCCAGATCCCGTCCACCCGTTCCGACCGCCAATGGGGTTCGGGGCACCGGCACCGGCATTTGTGTGTGCAACCGCGGCAGCATTTACATCAGTACCAACATCACCATCGAAAATTGACTCGACATCGGCATCGTTTTCCGATTCGTTGTCAGCTTCTTCAGCGTCGTTGTCGGGGATTTCTTCTGCGTCAACATCATTGACGTCGTTGACGCCGTCAATCTCTGTTTGTGTTTGAGCGAGGGGGATGTTGTTGACGGCAGTATGATCCGGCTTCGATTCTATTGTCAAGCACAACGCTGTCAAGTATAAAAGATTAGGGAACAAATATTAATTCCTTTTTATTCTATATTTTCGGAAATACAATTAAAATCTAAAAGCTTATAACAAAGAAGAAAAAAAGGTGCCACCAATAAAGAAACCTCTTATCAAAATCTATTGTTAATGGTTTCTGTATAATTTTGAGCTACATATGAGAAATACACCAGCAACTTGATTTTGATTTTAAATGTATTCATCATTTAGTTATCAGTTACTTATTCATCTATATATTCATCCATTTTTATTGAAATAATGTTGAAATAGCAAGTGCATATCAATAGTCAAATGACCGTCAATATGGGCATTGAATTTTGCGTCTTTCATTAGCAAAAACAACAAAAATAGCATGTGCCTTACCCCAAAGAAACCCAAACAGATAATTTGTCATAATCATAGCTAATGATATTTGATATCCTAGGATTAAGTGTGGCGAGCAGCCGCATAAGTCGGTAGGAAAGTTGTCGTTCCGTTGTCAATGATACATCAGAAAACTTAATTCGGCTCCTCGCCGCCAAGCAAATGTCCTAACTTTAGCATTTCGTACCCTTTTAATGCAGATCAATGTCGGAGTTCTTTGAAATACACTTTGAACCCGTCAAAATATACACTGTAAGTCACTATTCAGTTGATATATCCCACGATGTTTTTGTTTTCTCCCTGTAGATTAAATTTGATGTATATACATTATGGATCAAATAGGCCTACATGTATGTCAATAAATAATTCTTGTCTTACGTGCTGTGCAACCTCTGCTAGCTGTACTCAAAGATAAAGAATAATAAATTTATTATCGGTTCTAGCCATTGGACTTTTAGGCTACCCCCCCCCCCCAAATAAAGCCGACAAATCTAATCTTCAACCCTCCCCCCCTAATCCCAAACAAAAAAACTGTTAGGTTAAGTAATCGATAGGGTGACACTTCGCGATTTACACAGATAAACAACATTCCATAGATAATATCTCATGCGAATCTAGAGAGGGTCTCAACTCAGGGATAATTTTTATATTCCAACGAAACTGTAATAATCTCCGAAGTGCACCTGAATCCATAGGTCAATGTCGATAGTATCACCTCATAATTTGATTGTTCGATAATATAATTCATGTTCAAATTAGAAATAAAATATCAAAAATACTCATATATTTGACTTACTGCCTTTCTTTTTACATATAATATGCTGAAAGGATGATGGTAAAAACATGATCCACTTTTAAAGAGTTAAGACTTGATGCTTTCTCTAAAGGCATCGTTTAACAATGTTAAATCTGAAGTACATGGCCCTACGTGTTATCAGTGTCTGTGATATGGTGTAATATCGAAGCCCTAGAAAATGAGTGCCACTGAAAATAAGCTCTCGAGCTTTCGTGGGTTATCCTGTTCAAGCTGACTTCATTTTGATCTGTCATTCTTGTATATGGTATGTTGGAAGAAAAATCAATCAATCAATCAATCAAAAAAGTAAAAATCTTTGAGTGACCCGTTTTACCACACTCATTTTCCCCAATAGAATGTAGTATTTTGCCAACGGTTTTTTAAATTTCAAATTCCAATCATTAATATCTTGATAATCAGACAGGCGATCGCTTGTAAAAGTCATGGAATTCCTGACTGACCTAAAGGTTTATAATTATGATTGCAGTATGAGCTAAATCTAGGATTTTGTTTAAGATCTGAGACAAAGATACCCAATCCCTTTGACGAAGGTTATCTCTTCATTTGACCTCAGAAAAGCTCCAGTGAACGAACGGTTTTAAAGATATAGATACTTCATTGATGAAGTAGTGTGATGAAACAGTAACACCCCCAATCATTTTATTATGAAAGAGTTTCGTCAGGATTTTGATCACATTCAGTCTTCTAATTCGCGTCTGGGGAAGATGTCCAAACTCTAGACCTAACATTGGATCTGTTACAGGTAAATATTCCTTTTGGATGTGATAAAATAACTTTACAAAATCAGTCCAAAAAAACGTACTCTAATAATTATTAAAACAAAGGTTACGTACTAGGCTGAAACCATTACCTTTAGAGACGATGTTATCATGTTCTTAATGTCAACAACAACAACAATAATAATAATTAAAGAAGAGAGCAAAATGGAGAGGACCTCGCAGTTCAGAAACTCCACACTGTGTTTGATTGATCTCAAATTCAAAAGTTCATAACTTTCTTATTTTTAAGCGGAATCTGCTCAATTTTGTACCAACTGGTTCCTCTCATTTAAACCAATTTGATTTCAGGGTGGACTTTCCCTTAAAGGGATTGGGTATCTTTGCCTCTGACTCTCAACAAAATCCTGGATTTAGCTCTTGCTACAATTATAATTATGAACCTTTAGGTTAGTCAGGAATCCCATGACGTTAACAAGCCAATCGCCCGTCTGGTTATCAAGATATTTATGATCGGAAATCGAAACTTCAAATAACACTACAGTCTACTGGGTACAATGTGTATGGTAAAAACCGGTCACTCAGAGATTTTTTAACTTTTTGAGGCACTTCATGATCATTTTTAAGCGCAATTTGTGTATGGCTTCAAGATTACACCATATCACAGACACAGATAACACGTAGGGCCAGCATGCATCTCAGATTTCTAAAACTGGAAACATTGTAAAACGATGCCTTTAACGTTCACGATCATATTAAAAACAGACCAGACGAAGAATCAAAGTTAACAGTGTACTTACCACTAAGCAGAATCAATGTGACCGAAAGGAGATAGCAAAACTTCATCGTAGAGGCCATTTTAACTTTCTCCATGTATGTAACTCCAGCTTGTTAATGTTGCTAGTAGAGCGTTTCCTGTCTAAAAGGCAGGGACGACCTACTTAATCTCCTAGAGTGGTTGGAGAAGTGAATCACTTCTTTTTATACCATCCAAAATCCAGCTGAATCACTTTCGACTAAACCAAATGTCCACTGCATCACGTATGGCTGTGTTTTACCAGTTTGAGTTCTTTCGAAAAAATTATGTCCCCTTTCTCATGTCTCTTTCTCTCTCTCTCTCTCTCTCTCTCTCTCTCTCCCTCTCTCTGTCTCTCTCTTTCTGTAGCATATAGCTTTACAAATTAACAAGTTTGACCTCAAACTGACGGATTTAATTAGACGAGCTTAACTTTTTCCCCGTGAACATACGTACAGTTTACCAAAAAAGTTCATAAATATTATGACAATAGAATACTACAAACTTATTTCGTTTAATTACAAGGTTAAACACTGTCATTGAACAGAATAGAAAATAAGTGTTTTTGCCAGAATCGTGGAAGTCACGGTTTATCTTATGGAAATACAATATATAACTACCCATCATAGTCTCTTCCCCTCCCTATCCCACCTTTCTCTCTGCATTATTCATATCCTTATCTGTCACACCCTGTCTCTCTCTCTGCCTTCGTATTATTCTCTCTTTTCTTCAAATAAGATGACGATAATAATGAGAATAATGATAATGATAATCACCCTCGTCATTACAAGGGTGGTAATACTAATAATGATAATAATAATAATGATAATATTCATCATCATCATCATAATGTCTTACATTTCTAAATTGTTTTCCAGTTCACTATACTTTTTTGCTCCCTCTCCTAGTTTCCCTTTTCTCGGTCCCTCTATATACATCTTTCTCTCTATCTCTCTCGCTCTCTTTTTTTCTCCCTCTCTCTCTGTCTCTATCTCTCCCTCTCTCATTCATTCTCTCTCTCTCTTTTCCCTCCCTCTGCATCTGTACCCCTCACTTCCCTTTCCAATCTCTGTCCATTTTAGGCATCCTTCCTTTTCTCATTTATGCATGGCTGTATATTGTATGAATTATCAATTTACGGTTGCTCGTCTATATAGGAGAGGACACCCATTCGTTCCAGGCTTTTGTTATCCTATGTATAATCGTAGTTTTGCTATGCAATGCGTAAATATTGAAAATATATATGTAGGATTTGTATGGAATAAACATCAAATGAAATCAAATCATAAACAGTAAGTTTTAGGAGAAGTCAGACAACTATGATACTCTTTGATCGAAAATCCCTAAAATTACAATGATACTTCTTAGATACTGAGAGTGGCCAACTTTGTTTTCAAGACTTGTAGTTTCCTTACCAAATAAAACATGCCAGGGACTGCGTCAATAGATGCATCGTCAGAGTGGGGAAGGGAGGTGATGGTTTTCGATGTTTTAAATCCCTGCGTGAATTTTAAATATTTTGGGGGGAATATTTTAGCCTTATCAGCAACTTTAAAGATTATCTGTCTTGTTTATAGTCAGGACAATGTCGTCTAATTATGCTTTATGCCCGATTGCTTTATTACCTGCGCCAATTTAAACCACTGAGGAAAATAAGTTGCTAATTTTAAGTCTATACAACGTTTAGACCCGATCACATTACACCCAGTTTGCTTAGGATCTCACTCTCACAGTCATTGGCGCAGCTTTACGTCAGTAAAGAGGACGCATCGTGTGCAACACGCCTTATCATCATTCTCCTGCGCTAATATTACCTTCCCGTTAGTATGGCAACCCCAACATAACAGTGTCAAGTAAGTTGCCTTGATAATGAACAATCAGGAATTGTAGGAAGTCCTTGCCATACTGAATGCCAATACAGGCGTCAATTGCTCGCAACTTTTGGCAGTGTTTGCCTAGGACGTGTGTGTCGTGCCTCGTTCCATTTTGACATGAAGAGAGCTGATGGTAATTACTCAGATGTTCTGAAATGTCTTTTAAACTTAAATTACAGTTAATGCGAGTTTGCCAGCCGTGGGTGAACAGGTGTATTCCAACTTACTCGATATTGCTAGACGTAAGGAGTTTTATTTTACAGTTCATTATTTCGAGTTTCGAAACTAAACGTCGAATAGGTGGTCCATGGAACTGTCAAAATATGACAGGAACTGGCGTAGCATTGGCACAGCCATTTCGGGGGCAATGTTGACATGTTGATGGGGGGGGGGGGCGGCGCACTCAAGCATCTAGAGAGATTCTTCCTACGGGTTACCCATTTACTTCACACGGTTGTGATTGGCCATTGTAAAAATTTCTTGCAAGAGGACGTCCTTGCTAGCTGTGGCAGCAGGGATGCGAAACCACATGACCTATTAAAGTTCAGCGATGATTCACACTAAAAGAGAATTCTATTAGGCATATGCACGGACGATACTTTGCTTCGCAGAAGGCCCAAAAGATACGACACTAACGGAATTCCTAACTACAACTCTGTACGGAAGACAATACCTAAGCCAAAGCCTAACCCTAACCTAAAACACGATTGCAGCCTGTCGTATACCATGCAAATGGAGCCTTTTAGCCCGGATTATTATTGTCGGAGCAAAAGGGCGGGTCATCGTTCATTGATATGGATCAAATATGTACTTGCACCATGCGCGTAATCAAGGATTAAGAACACAACTACATCAACAATACATAGCTGGATGGGGAAATAGAAGGGCAGAAAGGGGAAGAGGGGAAGGTTAGAAAGGGGCGTGATTGGAGAGCAAAGGAGAAGGGGGGAATGGAAAGGAGAGAGAAAAGAGAAAGGAGAGAGATCAAGACGAGAGGACAAGGAGGTATGAGATAATGACTGGGTAAAATGGAGAAAGAACAAACGAACTAGAGGAGAGACTGTGAACAGATAGGGAGGAGAGATAGGTGGAAGTGTGAGGGAAAGAAAAAAGGAGAGAGCAGAAGAAAGAAATTACGAGAAGAGAGATGGGATATGAAAGAGGGGGTGAGTGGATATATATGTGTGTGTGTGTGTGTGTGAGAGAGAGAGAGAGAGAGAGAGAGAGAGGATGGGCGAGCTAGATGGAGAGAGGCAGACAAGTAGCCGTAGGTCCATGGGCAGACAGACACAGAGGGTGGGAGAGAGAGAGGGGGAAGAAAGAAAGAGAGGGAAGAAGAGAGAGAATGAGAGAGAGAGAGAGAGAGAGAGAGAGAGAGAGAGAGAGAGAGAGGGTGTCAGATTGACATAGTATTTTTTCACTTCTCTTGATGAATCATTATAAGGTACTGTGGAGAAAATACTGCACACGTTATTATCATCATGATAATACGCACAGGTCCCCATATCTCTAGGAACTTCCCAGACAGACCCAGGGTGCCTATGAATCATATTATTTTGAAAAACAAAACAAGTTAAAGTCACTCAAACATTTTCCAAAGAATTTCTCGAAAAAATGATTTGAATCATATTTTGTAAAATATAAAACTGGTTAAAGTCACTTTCAACCATTCTCGAAAGTATTTATCGAAAAACGATTGAATTTTAAAATAACAAACGGTCAAATCTTCACACGTTATAGGCAAGAGGGTATTCTAGAGCCCGTTGTACACGAAGCGTCATTTGCCACTGGCGTAGGACTGCGCCAGTGTCTGTCATATAGTTTTTGACGTTCCATGCGTGATTGATCTCGGGCAAAGAGTTTGCTAAATTAACGCAGCATTGCGTTGAATAATTTGTGTATGGGTTTAATGTCTTCACAGGCTTGATTAGAGCAAGAAAATAACGCAATAATATTAACGCAAGAAAAATAACGCGTCGTGCGCACGAGGCATAAGCTAGCTACATCTCGACTATTCACTCCGGATAAACCCCGAACAGGTACCTCATAGCAAAACAACCCCTGGAATATCTTCCCTAGTAGACCACACTCTTAGGACTATTTCCCAGAGGATAACTACCCCCACAGTTGCCAACTTTCGCAAAAACATTTCCGTATTCCGTTTTTTTTTTTTTTAGAGGATTAGCGTTAATTCTCACAGAATTGACATGGAACCACACAGAGAGTGACAAGTCTAAATTATTGTTGTGCTTGACCAACTTCCACAATAACAGTCCGGTATACAAAAGGCAGAAAAACAGTGTTTTGTTGAGAGAATCAGTAATTGACCATCAAGAAATGAAAAAGAACGACACAGAAACTGGCTAGCTAAAAGAAATCAATATTTTCATCAATAAAATTGAACAAATTTGAAATGTAATTCTTTTTTCAAAGAAAGGACTTATGATGGCTGTGCATTAAACCCATTTGGAAGTGTACAGGTTGATGTTATTGCTTCTCTATTGAAATAAATGTTTACGTTGTGAATTTTACATTAGAAGCGCAATTTCATTTATTTCATTGTCAACAAACTTCACTAGGCCTACGATTAGTTATTTTTTAAAATTTGAAATGTTAGTATCATTTGTGAGCTCCTTCCGCAGAATGGGTGCAATTTACAATTGTCCTGGGGAGCAGTGTCCGGCCAAAAAGGGTTCATTTGTCCGGGGGACCTGCAATGGGGTGCGTAATCCTTGGGGAAAGGTGACTGAGCACAGCTATAATAATGTTACAACAGTGCTTTAAAGTGACCTACTAACCTTAATAACTCAATTTGGTATATGCGTTTTCCTACTTCTCTCATTTACCCTCGTTGGGTCATCTTTCCTGTTCTTCTTTCCCTTGTTCGTTCTCGTTTTCCTCTCCTAATCCTTATTTTTGCTTCCTTGGTGTTGTCTTCTCCTAAAACTGCCCCTATTTATTTTATCTTCTTCGTATTCTATTTCTTCTTTCCTTTCTATTCTTCATACCTTTTCTATCTTTCTTTCTATTTCTTTACAACCCTTTCATCTATCTTTCTTTAACTAATCTCTTCATTTCATTTGCCCACCTTTTAGTGCTTTTCATCTATACCCTCTACACCCGAATCGCATCCTCCATCTCCAACTTTCCTATTATTGCCCCGTTTCGAGGCCTCAACCAAACCTTTTTTCAAGTTTCTTGAAATTTCGAAGGGAACCCTCGAGTTCTTAAACTTGGCACACTACCACTGATCCTTGTACCTGTCATACACAAACGTTTCCCTAGGGGTATTAGCGGCTGAAAATCTTGTGTAGATTCTTTAGTAAAATAGTCAGAACATTATCTCGGGTTTCCGTTTATATCAAACTAAGTTTGAATAATTTTGTTGTCTTTAGTAAGTCAAAATGATGCCAAGAAAATGAAACAGACTTCCGAATCCAACTCTACTCTTCTCTCTTTCTTTCTTTCTATCTCTCTATATCTTCCTCTCTCCATCTCTCTTTCTCTCTCATTTTTCTTCTCACTATCTTCCAGTCCACTGACAAATTGGAAGCGACGTATATTATGCCCCTATACATTTACCCTTTTTCTAGGCAGCGATTCGGTATATAATAAGCGATCATTTTTCGACAAGTGCTTCAGTTTCAGAGAACCACTAGTACAGAGGACCATCATCAGTATTAATTTTGCATATATTCCGTCTTGTCCTCACAGGTTTCACTTATCAGGGTTTCAGTTTCGTGGAGATTTTACTTCAACTAATTCGCAATGGCTTCATCAGGGACTTTCATCTGCCTCGCCACGCTTTTAGCTGGTAAGTTAAGTTTGTTTTATTACAGAATTGTTTGATGAACGCTCACTTTTTGGTGAATATTAACATGATTGTCTACAACACGAACGCAACTACTTTTAAAAAAAAAATCAAAGAAAATGTTAATGGACGTGTACGTCACCTTTTCAAATGTTCGAACATTATATTGACACACTGCGTGACCTGAACATGATTTCTATGGGACATCCATTAGGGTGTTGTAAATTGTGCTTGGGTTAATTTTCCGACAGAAGTTTCGATCGTGTTTTTTGCAATGACGAATATCGTCATTGCCTTGTTTTCGTTCACATTCTGCACCATTAATATTCTTCTTCTTCTTTGTAGAAAATCGCATTCCTTTTGCACATAGTGTTTGTTATTCCTAGTTAGGTGCTTTCCTCATGTCCATTTCCGTTCAAATTTTATAGGCATAATCTCTAGCATCTCATCAAGGTCACCTATTTTTTCGATTTTCGAAATCACTCATGCATAACCATCCAGGCGCCATTTTGTCCGTTTCTGGTCCATTTTTAGGCCTTTCTTTCTTCCTTCCTATCTTCACTATCCTAGATCCTACAAACTTCTAACAAATTCCTTTAGATAGTCTGAGAGATGTTCTTTCATCTGTTACATATAACCTGACCTTCAAAATGCCATCTTCTTACTCAAAATTCAAATCCGACACCTACTCCGTCAAAAATCTTTAAAATTCTTGAAAATTGGACCCCAACAAATCTAAAACTGCCATAACTTTTTCATATAAATTTCGTTTTGTATTTAAATCTTACAGTCTCTTTATCTCATATTTGCACACAGCCATGCCAAATTTCACGCTCCAATGGCTATGCACAAAATAAATAGCGCCCTCTAAAGTTCTGGGAATTGGCTTTCTTTATGTGGCCGTATCTCCATTATGGCTTGGCAGACCCGTACCCTTTTTTGGATTTAGATACCCGAAGATATCCCCTTTCAAGCCATATACGAAATTATATACCCTATCTTTGACCAAATTTGTGAAAATTGCTCTCCAAATTCGCCATTTTCAAGAAAATTGCGAAATAACTTCAACTTGCTCTAAAATTGCGATCATTATACCTACAACAATGAAACTTAGCAGACACATGTATCAATATACGTGACAACTGTCTGCCAAGTTTGGTAAATTTCAATGACGTCAGCGCATAGTTATCGCTAAAAATGATAAATTTACTATGCATTACGTAATAGCGTGTTAAATGCGTGCTGTACATTGCACGCAGATGACAATGGTGTCAAACTGACCGCAATGAAGTGCCCTTTCGGATGATACCAAGTATGATATATGTTCACACACAAAATTGTGAGTTAATCGCATTTTAGACATCACATTATACTGTTTATAATTATGTTAGTATAGACGACCGTTAGTGCCAGATCGCCCGTCATTGCACGCATATCGTTGTGCCACGATTGCAGGTCTAGTTTTTTCTTCTTCTTCTATATGCATCGCAGCATCTCTTGCAGTTAGTGGCGTACCGTTGTCCAGCCATTGAAAGGGGTACTTTATTATTGGGCAAACTTGTTTCAGTTATTTCCACCTGACCCCACCCCCTCCCTCCCTATCTTTAAAAAGGTAACTTAGTACCTAGAGTGTGGGAGAGGGTCCTATCATCTTGTAGAAAGAAAAAATTATATTCTAGCTCCCTTTCCCCTTCTTCCTTCCTTTCTCCTCATTTGAATCATATTTTTTTAAACTGTGAATCTAAATTTGGGGCGCAAAAGTTACACGATTTCTTGCAATGTCTTCCTCTTTTCGTCCAACACCTCCTTTAAAAATTGTTTCAGCACACCCCTATTGACGAAGAAGGAATTGAACTAGAACTACAATCGTATCAGAACGATATGCATACATTGACGCCAATGTTTTTACGGGGCAGACGAAAGAGCGTCTCTCGGACTTTTTTGGGGGAATTTATGAGAAGTCAGTAGCATCTATGATCATAGTGGAGATAGGTAGACGGAGATAGGTAGACAGAAAGAAAGGCCTAAAAACGGCCTGAAACGTACAAAATGGAGCCTGGATAGTCACGCATGAGCAATTTCGGTGTAAGTGACCTTGATTAGATAGAGGAAGGGACCTGGATAGCGCTCACAAGCACTGCGTGCAAAACCAAAGGAATTTTTTTAGAAATTACGATTAAGAAGAAGAAGAAGAAGAAGAAGAAGAAAAAAAAAAACGAAAACAGGGCATTGACAGGAGACGGCAATGCAATCAGTGTTCTCCTAATCTATCTAACTCTATCTAAATATTGTCCACAACAATTATTTGAACTTAAGACAATGTGCGGTCGATTACAAGTATAACAGATATGTAAATAAATTAATACATTAATAAAAATGAAATAAAATGTGTTTTTACGGGGGAGCATGAACCTAAAGTTCGTCTTTTTGCATGAATATGGCAAACCTTTATATATTTCGCAGCCTATCATGTGCATTTGCTCCCCCTCCCCCCTTCCCCCACTCCCCCGCCCCCTACCGCCGTCAAAGTCTAAATTATCCGTTTCAGAATACGCTGATATATGAGTATATTGTAAGGAAAACAATATTTTGTTCATTTTGTTTCAAAATAATCGTTTTATATTGTATTGAATGGACTCAAGATATATAGCCTACGAATATCCTAACCTGCAGAGGGTGACCCAATATTTGTACGGAAAACATACGGACTGTATTTCATCAAAGATATGAGTTAAGTTTGGGCTAAGAGTTAGGGTTGCATTTTGGGGGTTTAGCTTAGGGTAAGGGTGAGTGTTACAGTTAGTATCAAGAATTCTGTGAAGACGATTTGACCAGCATTTTTTGTATAATTTGAGGGCAACTATCGCTTGAGCATGTGTTTCAAAACTGTTTAATTTTAATCTTTCTTCTTTAACCTTCCACTTCACAGCATGTTGTATGATGACCGAGGCCAGGGGGCTAGGGAAGATCAGGAAAGCCCGACAGAACTTATTTGAAGTACCCTTCGACCAAACACAACCATACGCTGGGAGTTCGCCGCTAGCGGCCTCCAGCGTGGGAGGCTCGGCCGGAGGTGGTGGTTTCGACGTTGGAGTCTTCGCCGGCGATGGAGGAAGCGACGATGTCGTTGCCTCCGACTCCGAATCTTCCGAAGAATACGACGAAGTGGAGCCCGCCAGCATCGACACCGCCCTCGTCAACGGAGTCGATGCTGCAGATGGACCAGCAATGGTGGGAGGTCACCGTCACGCGATAGGTGGCAATCTTTCTCCGATTCTCAGGGGCGATAAGGGTATGACTTTCCAGACAAAGAACAAAGACCAGCTGTTGAGTAGGACGTCAGGCTCTTCCGGTACAGGTGTCGGAATCGCCTTCGCTGTTCTATGCCTCCTCGCTGTCGCAATAGGGGCTGCTGCGTTTGTCCTCATGAAATACCGACATAGCATCCCGGTTCTCGTTTGGGCCTAATGGTTAAGCATTTATGTATCTCTAATGGATAATCTATTACATTTGAATAAAGCCTGCCCTTTACTCTTCTGGCAAGGTCCCAGGGGTCTCAGTCAAATATAAATGCTGTAAGCATAAGTAACCAAAACAAGGCGTATAAAAGGATGGGTTGTTTTGTATAGATTGGACGCGGTCCGTGCGGTGCGGTGCGGTGCCGCGTTAAGGGGTTAAACACGTCCATTTTCAAGAAAAGGGTACATGTTCAAAAAATTGCTGTTCGCGTTTTAGTCCCGGTACTATACATTTATATTTTGCTTGGCATAGTAGAATATTATCTGTTCATTGTACATTGTATACTTTTTGTAAACACTACATGTACTTTATATAAAATTGAACAAATTTGAAATGTAATTCTTTTTTTCAAAGAAAGGACTTATGATGGCTGTGCATTAAACCCATTTGGAAGTGTACAGGTTGATGTTATTGCTTCTCTATTGAAATAAATGTTTACGTTGTGAATTTTACATCAGAAGCGCAATTTCGTTTATTTTACATTGTCAACAAACTTAAATGGTACTCCCTATTGCACTTCAAAATGCTCAAGGGGTTTCAATTTTACGAAACTTGTTTAGGAGTACACTTTTGTGAAATACCCGTTAAGGGTATGAATTAGGGGTAAACAAAAACACGTGAAATTCTCATTTAGGGTGTATTTTGGCTCCAGAAGAAATCCTCGTTTAGGGGTGTCTGGAAGACCTGTGGTCACGCATGCTTACATTATTTATACGTGACTGAGACTCCTAACGGCAAGGTATACGAAATATATATATAGGACTACGCACATTTCAGACGAAACAAGCTGTAAAACTGTACATGTTTCTTTCATTTTACATTGTTGGTGGTTGGTCATTGGAATGAAAATAAAAAAATATGTATGATAGCATTTTTGTAAAACTCTACCGTTGAATTGCTTCTTGTTTTTTGAAACATGACATGCAGCTCTTGGCTGATATTGTTTGTTTTTTTACAAAGTAATCATATTACATCATAAATATAACAAAATAACAATGGTAACATCACACAGCAATATTCTAAAAGATTTATAAAAATGTATCGAAGATGTGGATAAGTAGTTATCAAAAATATTCAAGGATGAATTCAATTGAGCATATTTCCAGGAACATTAGGCTTATTGCATAAGAATATCACTTGAGACAATATTTACTTTAGTTGAGTAAGAGAGGGAATAAGATGTAGCACATACATGTGGAGAACCATCGGCAATGGGTAATAAAAGAAATGAAATCCAATCGCTAAAAAAAAAGCAATCCCATAAAGTCAACCCCCCCCCCTCCTCCTGAGAAAAGAAATGTGCTTATGATTGTGATTTTAAAATAACCGATATATTGGTGAGACAATCACTCCACCCTAAAGACAAGATACTATGATTTTAAAAAACAATGCATTCAAAAGATACTTCATTCTGACATGACTTTTTGTAAATAGTAAAAGTTATACAAATTGTAATAATAACTTTGCTGAGTTGGAGTGCTATAAGGAGAGAATGTACATAAGAGGAGAGGATGGAAGAATGGAGGATGGAAAAGAGGAGAATGATCAGCGTTCATCGGCAAAGATAAATGAATAAAAACATGAGAAAGAGAATTATAATCACCATTGTTTGTTGAGAAGTCGTACGATGGAGGGAACAGGTGAAGAGCGATGTCTTTAAAGATAAAGTTGAGTTCTGGTCATGCGATTGCATTGTGAAAGAAACGGTGTGGAACCGACCAGAAAAGGTTGATCATCTAGCATATAAGAATTTGTTTGTATTGCAAGGTTTTGGAATCATCAAAATGATAAGAAATTAGGCCAAGTCTTGGTAAAGTTACAAACACTTGCACAGAAAGATGTATATGGGACTACACGAACACGTGGCGTAAAAAGCCGCCCCCCCCCCCCCGATTTTTACGATGTTACATGCATATTTAGAATATGAAGGCATTTGAAGAGCCATGCTTTTCAGGGAACATGTCTTAACTGATGTTCTTCCACACTTGCATAATAAGAATGAGTAATGCTCACAAATTATTTTTCACCTCTTCCCAGAACTCAACCTTCTCTTTATGTTTTACAATGGGGCTCTTATTTTCATATTCACACGATTCTAGATCAGAAATCGTTGCACTTTGAAATGTGTGAAACAGTGAACGTTGTGATGAAGTATGATTATACTGAGCAATACATGTGTGTACGATTTCTTCAGTAGCAATCATAATTATATGAAATACGAAAGATCTTTTTATTTCTATGAAAAGTAACATGTATGACACGAACAAAAATCTTGAAAGGAATTCTTTTTACATCAAATAACAAGGACCTATGAGTTTCATTGTATAAAACAAATTAAAGGATCTTTCCGCTCTGGTTGAGGAAGCCTATCACCTGTATGTACACGTACGACAGATGCATACAGCCTAAACTCGTGTGCGGATATACATGTATCTTTGATATAAGTAATACACTTTTTGATATCTTTATTTATACTCGTTATAGACTGATTTCCATTGGGGCCGTGTAAAACAATTTAAATACATCAAATATACATATAATTTGTGATTTAATTTTTTGTTATTATGACAATCGTACATTAAATGACATATTCAAAATAAACAAGAAATAACAGGATTAAGATGAATATATTTTTAAAAATAACAATAGAATAGTACTGCCAGAAAAGAATATGTATGGGAACAAATATAATCATGAGTGGCTGAACAAGAGTACTGTAAATATGCTACAAACTCAAAAATGGTAATAATAATAGTTACTAGTTCAAATAAATAGCCATAATCGCTGGATGCGCTCCTGATGATGCTATGAAAAATTGTATTGGCTGCCAATCGGAATATTCACAGGCTTAAATATACTTGACGCTGTTGCTCCCTCTACCGGCAAATATGTATTCCGCCAATAACCCGTATGACATGAGGCAAATGAGGAACTAAAGATATGATATTAGGGCTGCATAGCTCCGAAATCTTGCGTATTAAATTGTGCACTTTTTTCTAAAGGCACCAAACTTGGTACAGTTTTAAAATGATACATACTGAGCTATATACGAAATAGAAGTACTTTCTAATAGGAATTTGTTGATAAGTTTTTAAGGAAATTGCAATTGTAGAACTTGGCTAAATAGATAACCGATCAAATAGAAATTCGGACCCTACCGTAACATTCCCCAAGCACTGTAAGCTGAAATTTAAATAAAAAGAGCAATCGTATCTTTGATCGGATTTTTTTTTTTTTTTTTTTTTTTTTTTTTTGGGGGGGGGGGGTCGTCCCCCCCGGAAAATTAAAAAAATGCAATAAAAATGTATAGCAAATACTGACTATACACACTTTTAGTCTCTAGAGGGCCCAAGGAGTGCAGCGTTTAGACAAATAGAAATGCAAAAAATCTTCTCACTCGGTAGCTACGCTCCCTCGCATAATATCCTTCAAAGTGTACAAGTAAATATTGTAGAAAAGTGAAGTATGAAAAAAGTATATTGCTTTTTTGTATACGATAGTTTTGCTAAGGAATATATTTTTTTAATACAACAAAACATCAAAAACCTGTCGTGGGATCACTTCCGTCACCTCAACCCCTCTCGTTCATTATGCTCCCTCGCACTGGCGTATTGATGGGAGGGTGGGGGCTTGGGGCAGTCGCCCCCCCCCCCCTCCCCTCAAAAAAAAAAAAAAAAAAAAAATCAAACGTGGTATATTTCTAATCAGGGATTTACAAATTTTGCTGAAATGGCATGATTTTCCCCTTAGCTTCCGGGGGCTCTGCCCCCTGGTTGCTCATCTGACCGTAATTAAATGCTTAAAAACCCTGGGCTTCCGGTGTTCCGCACTGAATGCTCATGTGACCGTTATTAAATGCCTAAACCCCTGAGCTTCATAGGGCTCCGCCCCACTCCGTCCAATAAGTGTCCTGCATGCCAGTGTCACAAATAAGGTATCAAAATATGCTCATCCGACCGTAATTAAATGCCTAAAACCTCTGAGCTTCCGGGGGCTCTTCCCTCTGGACCCCACCGGGGACCCTAAGATGGGCCTCTGGATACTCATCTAGCCGTTATTAAATGCCTAAACCTCTGAGCTTCATAGGGATCCACCCCTTGTACCCCACCGGGGCTTTGCCCCTGGACCCCACGCCAATTTAAGCTCCACTTGCTTCGCTCGCTTTGCTCTACCTGATCGTAAATACTTTAGCCCCCCCCCCCCCCCACTTTGAAAAACGTTCCGCGGGGCCTGCATGTAACATGTGAGAGTGAGGGTGGAGTGGGGGTGAAAATTATTTTTTCTGCCCCCCCCCCCCATCAAACGTTTTTGCTCATTACGCCACTGCTCGGTCATGAAAATAAATCGCTGCCCCTGAAGTAAAACCAGTCCTATAGAGCTAGAATTAATTTTCAAATAATTCTTGCAAATCTTTGATGTATAGAAAGAAAGAAAGCCATAGATCTGCACTAGTTTGGTCAGATGGGATTAAACCTCACTGCATGGTCACTGACTTTTTATCAGTGGCCCCCCAAAAAATAGTGCTCACTAATCCCCCAAGCCCCCACCCCCTCCCCCGCTTTTTCACTGGCTGGCTGTTTCGCCGCTAAATATCTAAATATTTTCTCACGAATCAGGCCCCCTCTTTGCCCCGCTAAATATTTTCTTACGAATTAGGCCCCCTCTTTGGCCCCCGCCCCTTATCCTTCCCTCTTTCCTCGTACACTACCCCTCCCCCCTCCCTGGTTCTTCTTCATGAGAATAACATTGTTGGTTTTATGAGCCCCCCCCCCCCTCCCCCTCCCTTCTCTCTCTCTCTCTCTCTCTCTCTCTCTCCCTCCCTCTTCTACTCCATCTTCTTTATATAGCAGAGTATTTACACATCATGAAGTGCTCATTGATTACTGTATATACGATTCACAGCCAAAAACTAAAATCTTGTTTTTCTATTATACCAGATAGTGATTTGCTTTTCTACAATTCGTTATTAACTGACTTCTAGATTTGCCTCTTTTGAATGTATGTATTGTGCATCGGGTTTAAATTAAAAAAACGTTTTCCCCCTTTCTCTGTTATACTTAATTATTTATTATTACATCTTTATTTGTATCACCTCTCTCTTATCTCCCTCTCTTTTCTGTTAACCATTTAGGACTTTTTAAAGCTATATTTCCTTGTTTCAGAGTACTTCATATTCAATGCCAGACTTAACATCTGCCTCTTACACAAAATGACAGAAACAATCTACGCAATGCTTATTTGAAGAAGAAAAAAGGTAAACATTTGAGATTTTAGGAGAAAATATAATGTGATAAAAAGGTACCTTAATAAATAACATAATGTTAACTGAAACTCAGTTACAAAAGTGATGAGAATATGTACTAGAATTGCATAACGTTCAAGATTACTTTCATTCCTACTGTGCTGTTGAATGATGTGAATTTAGATTAAATTGTATGTGTTAAACCTCAAAAGAGAGAATACAATTTAATGAAGGTGCATTATGTTTAGAAACCAAATAATGATATGCGGTTGCAAAAAAGGTTAGCAAAGACGTACTGATTCCAAACAGAAGAAACTTGACGAAATTTAAAGGTCGTCCGTTGGATCGCTACGCGACGGATCACCTAATAGTATTAAGAATTAAGAAGACAGAAGATGATCCGTTGGATCGCTACGCGACGGATCACCTAATAATTCATGTTTCTGAGTGCATTAGTGAATATACACTTAACGACGTCTTAGTTTGATTTTAATCAAGTTAGAGTACTATATAAATAATTCATGTTAAATTTCTAAGTGCATAAGTGAATATGCACTGCACGACGTTAAGTCGCAATGTGATAACAAACGCGACTTGTCGATTTCATGAAATATTACAAAAAGGTAGAAGTTGGAGGTAGAATTT